AAAAGATAATATAACAGAATTTTTAAAACCATTTCAATTTTAAATGCTTCAAACATAAAATAGCTCTTAAATATTTAATTTATAGATTGAGTCCGTTTTATTTTATATATATATTATGTTTGATAAAACAAAATAAAGACTTATAATTTCATTTCAATCAGAAATCATATTTCTTATTATTTATTTATATCGACGTATTCAGACATGATCATTTTAAGCTATTCATATTCATGTACCTACAGTTAGAATGTTCTATTTTTTAATTATTAAATTATTATTTTTAATCATACTTATAAATTGAATGCGTTTTGATCCTTGTAAAATGTTCTAAAAATAATTTAAACATTTTGAAAATAAATATACACAGTGTTTTATACGCATTTGATTAAAACTATTTTAATTATTTCAAAAGTAAACATTATTCAAAATATATTAATTACAGAAACTTAAAAATTATCGTCATTCCGTAGGTATATTATTATTTTCTATACACGATGAAATGTTTAGTTTATTTATATTACGAACCTTAGTAGGGCGTTATTCGTATGAAATTTTATCTAGATAATTATTTATATAACATAATATTATATTCAAATAAATTATTATTCGAATGATTTTTTTACAATTATTCAAATAATTTTCAACTATGATTATTCAAATAAAAATGTATTAGAATAATTTTCGGTTATTTTATTTGAATAAAATATATGGTTGATAATTTCAAAAAACATATATTAAAAACAGTAGGTAGCATTTTATTTTAAGTTACACGATTGTAAACAGTATTTTATTCGGAATAAATCTTATTATTAAATGTAAATAAAACAAATATGAGTATATATCAATAAAAAAAAATAAAGGATTAGATATGTTTTTTTTTAATCGTATTTTAAATATAATATGAATAATATTTAATAATAATATTTCGTAATAATTACAACAATAATAAATAGTATTAAACTATTAAATAATAATAATGAATAATTATAAAAAAAAAAATGATTCAATTATAAACTTGTTTACTCAAATCTTTGAAATTTAGTCGAATAATATTTTATTTAAATAACCATAGTTGAAAATTATTCGAATAATTATCTAGATAAAATTTTGCACAACTCTGCTACGAACCTATTTACACCAATCTACGGTAAACCAATACCAGCTTAAAAGTTGTATGAAATGTTTTTAGAAAATATTAGTTGATTAAATCTACCAAATTAAGAAATTATTAATAATAATATAAATATAACATAAAATAAAGTAATAACTATCCATAGAAATGCAAAAGACAACCGCCACCTTTGCTCAGAATCGTATTTTTTTTATACAACGATTCATCATAGAACATAAATTTGTTTAAAAACAATTTTGCATAAAGGTATTTTCTATATACTTCTATATTTTCTATTTAAAATATTGTAAAATTAACTGAATATAAAAAACATTGTATTAAATTTTCAAGCTACTTAGCAATTAAAATTTAAAGTTTTATAAAGTCTTTATACTACAACATAACATAATTTACACATTTTTATAATTTCATAATTTAAACAAATTTTGTAAAATATTGACCTTTTAGGCTTTAAGCTCAAAAGTACTAAACATTTTTTACTGTTGACCACAAGTTAAAACTAGATTCAATATTCTACCAGGGATATGCAAAGGAAGTTATGGTTAAATACTTGATTTAACCGATTTCTTTATGGATTAATTTTTACAGAAATAATATTTTAGAGAACTTGGATAAGTGTTTTTAAAATGAGTTGCTTGTTGAAATTTTTAAACGATCAATCATTATTATAATATAATGTCGATTATAACTGGAACTTAATATATTATAAGTATTTGAAACTATATTAACTATACCACTGTACTTGAAAAATGTTGTGAACTTTGTAACTTATACATATCTAAAGCATTTTATACATTTAATTTTTGATCGATTATATGTACCTATGCTATATAAATAGGCTGAAACTAAAAATATTTACCACCTAAATAGTGTTTTAGAAAAGAAATCAAACATTGTATTCCATTATAACGTATCAAAATATACTAATTTATTAAAACATGACCGAAGTATTATTTCTGTATATAACCCAATGATTTTATTCTAAATTTTAATAAAAACACAAATATTACTTTAATCGATAAATATATGTACACGGAAATTATGCATATTTTAGAATAACAAAATATAAGATTAACACAATATTATTTTTATTAATATTATATAATAAAAACTATTTTTAACCGAATAGCTGACATAAACCACACCCATCACAAAATGTTTTATTCATCATAATCTGATAATCTTGTAAAGTACTCGTGTAAAAGTATTCGAAAACTTCATAAGTACTCAAATAAATTGTTTAAATGCTTTCAAAAAATACTTAGAAAAATTATTTTAAATATTTTCTCAAAGTATCTCTATCTAAAATCATTTTTACTAATTATCAAATAGTTTTTTTTTTTTTTTTAATTCGATCACGTTTAATAATAATAACAACAAATAAAAAAAAAAAAAAAAAAAAAAAAAAAAAAAAAAAAAAAAAAAAAAAAAAATGAGAAATAGATATGTGAATTTAAGTCAAAAAATTGAACCTATGAAATTATAAGCATTACAAATTTACCAGAAGTATCAGAAGTATAATTATATAAATAATATTATCAAATATATAGTTTATTTAAAAAAACAATTATTAATGAATAGGTACCTGAACACTGCATCAGGAGTACCTATAATATGGCGCATGTTTACGATGATATACTAATTTGAATCATTATGTACCATTCCAAGAATTTAGAAAATTTGACAAAGAAAACAGGTGAATAATTTATATAGTTGCACACAATGATACGGTGTAAAATGCTATATAAAATTAATGTAAAACATGAAAATACTGAAAAATTGGTTGACTTGACTTACAAAGTAAAATTAAATGTTATGTTAAGAAATTATAAGTATTATAAAGTATCTGTATATTTTTCTCAAATAATTTTGTTAAGTATCTTTTACTAGACTTTAATCTGACAATAATAAAAAGAGTAACTAATTCGTATCTATATATGTATTGTTATTTAATTTAAATTATGTGTTTGTATTGTATTAACACATAATGTAGTTGAAACAATTAAATAAATAAGAAAAATAATATTTCATCATATAATTGCATTATAACTACCTAAATAATAATTTTAAAGAAACATAGTACACGTAATATAAACATAAATCAAAATTGATTTATTAAAATGGTTTAATGAAGTATAATTAACACACATTTTTGACGCAAATTAATTTTTGTGGTTATTTATTTGGATAATAAAAACGAATATTCTTTATATGTTAATAAGTAAATTTGAACAAGTAGTTTGGTTTATTTTGTTAAATAATTAGTCTTCAAAATTATTTATTTTTTTTTTTTTTTTAAATAGTAAAAAATAACACTTGAATATTATTTTTTATACTTAAATAACCTATATATTTAATCTATTTTTCCTAAGTTTTAAATATAAATGTATCATTTTAATCTAATTATTAAGTAAAATAGTTTTATTAAAAGTAAAACAAACACATTATATGAAAAATATTCAAGATTAAAATATTTAAATTAAAAATTAAATTTTATGAAAATGTGTCACATTATTAAATAAAATTAGACATCAGCTTAAATCTATAGGTTTAACTGTTTAAATTCGTATTCTTTCAACTAAATTCCACAAATAAATAGTATGTCTAGTATAAGAATTCGATAGGATATATTTTTTATACATAATAATATTGTATTTTATGAATTCTAATAAACTGTGATTGTATACAGAAAGATAACAAAAAAAAAAATATATATATATATTTTTAGTTATGTATTGATTATAAATTAAAATAATAACTACACATCTAAATTTTAATGCAATTCAACAAATATTTAAAAATATAAGTACAACACAAAATATTAAGTTTTAAAAAATAGTTAAAATACTAATAAAAATTTAAATTATAGTTATATTATAAATATACAGAATCCTTATAATTTTTTACCAATTTTAAGTAATGTTAATGTAGTAAAATAAATTCCATTACCATACCCAATCAAAATATTATCAATAATTCTTCACATATTATACCGTATAATATACATACACTTTCTATTTTGTATTTATATATTTATTTACTACGAAAATATATCGTGATAATAGAAAGTCATCTTTTGAGTAAAATTAATAAAATATTAGTAATATTATTATTTATTCGTAAAATAAATTTGTTAATACTTATAATGACATATTATTGAAGAATAAATTTAATATGCTAAAAATATTTCATGTATCCATAATTTATTACAAATTTAAAAAATATGCTATTTTATACTAATTTAATGATTTAAAATTTTTCTAATTATTTACATTAGTATTTTATACTATTTTTGGATCTATAGATAATATATATAGTATTTAAATTTTCTCTTACGCGTGAATAACCACCACACCAATTTATCACGCTACATATATCCATCACCCTATTAAATGATAATAAATATCCATGAAATACATACACGTGTTTATTGTAAAAAAAAAAAAAAAAATACAATTACAGATAAAATTTGAATTTTTTAATTTTTTATTATTATTATTATTATTATTATAAGACAAATTAAAATTAAAATTCAGTTTTAAAATTGACGAAAATATAGTTATAATTTTATAATATATAATTTATTTTTATAATAAATCACATAGCCAATTCTATGATAATTTAAACATTTTTCTGAAAATTCTTAAAAATTTATAAAATAAGTTGAGTAATTGTGTTGTTTTTTTTTATTTCAGATCAAGTGTTTAATTTATTTTAATCAAGTGTTCAAATAAATTTTAATTTACTGATGTACTTAGACACATTATAATTGTCTATCTCTTTATAGAATTTCAGTGAATAACTTAAACTACTGTACATTAAATCTATTCCTATAAAAAATAAAAGTTAATAAAATCAATTTACTTACCTCATTCATTTAAACTAAGCGACTCAACAAAAACTTACATAGTATGAAGTTTACAATACACAAAAAAAATATTTACACATACCATTATTATTACAAGCAGTACAATGAACGTTTTCCGGCTTTTTAGTAAGGACGGTGGCGACAGACTGCCGACTTGGGGATGCCACCCGCGTATTTTTGTGTTATTCGAAGAGCGACATCTATCTGGTCTCGATAAATAAACTGAAATATAAGATTTAACATACAGTTATCAAACTTTTCTTAAGCAATAAAGCTATTTAATAAATCATACATCATATATAATTACCTACTTTTAACATTTATAAAATATATATATATAATATATGAACAAAAAAAAACTACCTAATCAACTGATTATTGTATTAAATACGTATTTTAGTCGTAGGCGTGCGCAAGAGAATGATATCGAAGACAATTGTCTCGTTTCCCCTACAAGATTTTCTAATTATGTTTTTTTAATATACATTTATTTATAAAACTACAGAGACTCGAGAATATTTTTCAGATTTTGATAAATAATTTAGATTTTTAATGTCCTAATAGCATTAAGATTATTGTTTCAATACCGGTAACCAGTCTTGGTTCTAATAAAAGAAGCTTTTCAAAACTTTCTATTACTATTCTATCTTTACTATTATAAAGACAAAATTACAATGTAACGAAAAGTAGAAAAGTTTTTATGGTTTTAACCATTTTTAATTATCAAGAACAGGCCTATAAATTATAATATTAACTGTAAAGAATTATTAACATTTTTAAAACTTTACAACGTAATACCAAAAGATACACAAAACATTAAAAAATTTATCTTAATCGTACCCAAACAAAGTTGTATAGTTATTTTATATTTCTAAACTATGAAATGTTGAAATTATGATATATTTTTATTTTATGCAATATTTAATAATTTTATGATGTAACAATTTTAACTAAAGATTAATTTTTAAGGGTTAAAATAATACTTGTCTTGCAAAAGTGATTAAATAGTGTTTTATTTTTATATAAATAAATTAAAATATATTCTAAAAATTATAAATTTATCTATAAAATTGTAAAAAAAAAAATAAACTTATACAATTATTTTAAATTAAAAACTTTAGACTTTAAAAAGTCTTATAGTCACTTCATAATAAAATAATATTGACAATAATGTAAATAAAATGTTCTACTAAATATAAACTCTTTATTATACACGAAAAATAAACATCAACACACAAATTTAACGCTAAAATAAAATATTTCTAAACAATTAATCTAATTCATACTTCTATAATATTTTCCAATAATATAATTACTATTTTACCCCATAATGTACAATACGTAATATTAAAATTCACACTTTTAGATGCTATTTATAAAATATATAGACACTTTTTATAATACCTTCAATGAATGAAATAAAACCAAATTATAAAACAATCTAACTCCATGTAGTGATAATTTTACTTCTATAATAAATATATTTGTAAATGAGTTGATGTTAAACTATGTACTTTTAATAAACATAATAAAAAGTTATAAATTACAAAAAAACTGAATATAACCCAAATACTAAACATAACTCAAATTTAAAAAAACAAAAAATGAAGTTTTCCTTAGTTCTACATACGAACATTAAATGCAATCTTCATAACTTCTGAAAACTTCATACCTAATACTTAAATACATTGAAAACAAACTTCACGTATTTCCTATCACAAATCACAATAATTACTTTCAGGTTTAATATTACCAATATTATTTGTTATGAATCTATATCTATACTACACCACTAACATATTCAACCAACCCGACGTGTGAAAATTATCTAGGTACTTATTTCATTTTTAATTTATTTTTTATCAAATTATTTAACCATGATTAATAAATAAATTATATAATCCATATTAATTAAATATTATTATTATTAAATAATTTATTTACAATCAGTAATTTTGTTTTTACAATTAATAAAAAAAAACCGTCAACAAAGGAGGCTCTGTTTGATCACCTCTGCTACCATATAATAATAATAATACCTAACAATGATTGTGTAATGACATGAAGACATGAGAAGGATGTGACAATGGGTCACACTTCATTATTTATTTTACAAATTTAGTGACTCTCTTGAAGTACAACAGATATTGACAATAAGACCCTTGTTCAATCATTTTTAAAGCACTATAAGATAGTAGCTGATATTAGCTTCTATGTTAATATGAGGAAAACATTTTTTTGGAATGAATGAACTATTTTCAATGAAATTTTTTATATTAATTAAATGCTCTCACATTAAGGATTATTTAAATTTCAATTACTTATGAATAGAACATAAAATGATGTTAATAACTAACATTTAACACAACTAAGCTAATAATTTAGATAAAATTAAAAAATCATTGTTTTTTCTATCTATTTTTTAATTTAGATTTGTTTGTAAGTATTTTAAATTAGCGATAAAAACTATACAATATACTGGAAATGTACATTTTATTTTATTTTAAAAGAATATTGTTGGTTTCTCACCTTAAATTATGTTTATTATTACTACAAACGCACAACAGACAGCTATTACTTTTTTATGAATTTTTTTCGTTTTTTAGTTTGATTCTATTGGGGAAAATAAATTAAAATAAAATGCTCAAGTACAGACAACATTTAGAAACCATACGTACATTGTATATAAGTATAACAAAACACACTATATCTACGCGTATTTTTTGATATTTTTTCTTTCGTATACCAAACTCCAAGAAAAAGATGAATTTTACGATCTTCTTATCGCTAGAAACAGCATAGTCGAAAAATGTTTGCTTAGCTCATAAAATAGTTTTATCGCTGTTAAGTATTATAAATTTTTTTTTGATTCTACTTTCCTCTTTTTTATAAAGAAAAAACATTTCGTTTGTATTATTAATTTTATTTGTACATTTATTCAATTGTCGATGTTGACATAGTTATTGTTGTTGTTATTTGTTGTGTTTGTTTTTATAGTAAAGTAGATACCAACCTACCTACAATATTAAAAATATTAATATAACTTTCTTATTTTGATTTATCATCAGGTTCGTCGTCAAGGGGGAAGGGGCTTAGGGAGTCTGTCCCTCTAAGAAAAATCAGTAACCCTAAACTGGCTCGATTTTATTTTTAAATATTATGGCGTTTAATCGTCCCAAATCCTGAATATATATTATATTACTTCATATAATTAACGATCGTAAAATAAAAATTTAATTTTAAGATTTTATTTTTAAAATATTTGTCACTCGACATTTTGAGATAACAGTTAGACAATAACACATCTAATAAATTGAAAACTAGAAATTCCATTAATTCCAAATACGGTTATCGAACGTACATTGATGAACACAACTACGAACAACATTACAATAGTGAAACTATATAATACGATAAACATGCCTAACAAAATAACAATATAATATTATTCTCTATTGAGTTTGAGTATTGATTCATTCAAAAACACAGCGTTGTAGAATAAAGTAGTTAACAAAGCACGATATAATAATTAAGAGAACTTTCATTAGTTATTTTAATAATCAAAAAACCTTGCAAACCGAAAGATAAGTACGATAATTATACATAGATACTTCGGATAAATTTTATTTACCAAAGTCTTATTTACCTACATTTTATATTTATTAATTATTAAAATTATTTCCTTATTAGCTAATAATAAATGTTAATAATACATTCATGTAATTTTGGATATTCTAGCATTGAGTAATAGCTACTATATATTAATCCGTATTAATTAAAAGATGCATGTTAGGTATTACATTTTTAAAACATTTTATTCTATGAATAATAATAATATTGTCAATAAATTTAAGAACGTATTTTATTTATTTTTATTATTAAAATGATTACTATCATTAGTGTTTTATTGCATTATAATATGCATTCTGTTAATCTCAGCACTTAAACTATCTATACAAAATATAATATTATAATATAGGTATGAGGTAATACGAATATATATAGCTATTTCTGGACTTTTGTTATTTACCATTTGGTGACTACATTATTAATAAATTAATGATTTTATTCATGAAATTGTTATTTACCTAATCGATAATATAATTAATTTTTCATACTAATTGGTATTGCTATATTGGTACCTATCTATTTATTATACTTAACCTATAAACAGACAATACTTTGTGAAATGTAGTATTTTTTTTATATATATATATATAAAGACATTGTGTAATAAAATGGGGAAGTGGTATGGGGAGCACAAAAAATAGAAAGTGGCCAAAAAATGTCCACCCCCTTATGGGAAAATGTCTAGCTACGTACCTGATCATATTATAATAATTAATAATATTGTTAACCAATTTATATATACATTGGAACCTCCACTAACGGAGACCTCCCAATAGCAGACGTTTTTTTGAGAACAAGGTCATTTTCACTACTTTTCAATGGGAAAACCTCCGAATAGTAGACATTATTATTATCTTTATTTAAAAATAATACGTATTCACATTCGTATGTACTCTCGTAATAATGTAATTACGATAATAAACTCGTTATGGGACAATAAAATTACGATAAAATTACGACAAATTCGGTTCGGTTATCGGCGAAACAGTCATGAGTGTTGTAATAAAAGTATGCCAGTTAGTGATGGTTTCTCTATCAAATAAATGCAGGACGCTTTGTTTTTTTAAAGAACGTAAGTCATTTCATCGATTGAGGTAAAAAAGCAGTACTATTTTCACTTCTACTGTAACTTTAGCGAATGGCATTACTATTGAAATTGCACAAAGACGGTGTAATTATAAACATACAATAAGCTCACTGATTTTTTTCTCACAAAAATAATTTAAATAATAATTTGCAAAAATGTAAAAATGTAATAATTTGCAATAAATATAATATTATATAACATACATACATACATGATATTATGTACATTATTTTATTTTATTTTAAACTTTATGAATTTCAAAAATGTATCCCTTCTAAGTAATGGACACCTTCGAATAATGGACAAAATTTTGATGACCGAGAGTGTCTGCTATTCAAAAGTTTCACTGCAAATACTTATTTTTGTAAGAGAAATTTAATGTTTATTATAAATATATTTAAGTAAATATTAATTT